TCCCTGCCACTCCTACTACAACAGAATCCCACATAATCTCCCCTTTCCTGTCTAAATAAAAAGGAAGGTTTTAACTTTAACATAGTAAAATTACATATAACAAGACAGGTGTCAAGCAAGAATTACAGTTACAACATTTATATCTACTTTATCTTTTATTTTAACTAAGGAAAACTATATCTATTCTTCAACTCCATCAAAGACTCCAGAAGGATATACTATTACCCAAGTTAACAGGAAGTACATTATGAGAAACTTCCAAAACTCTAAAATTTGACAGAGACAACTTGTCTTGACAGTCACCCAAAGTTTTTCTGTAATATTCAGGTATCCATCTTCAGCCTATAGGCCCATAGTATCTGGCAGACTTTTAAGTGAAGCAGGAAATTTGAAAGGCTGTTTTGCCTATGTTGGCAGTTTGTCAGTCACTTACTTCTATATCCTGAAGAATGTCTGGAGTTTCTTCTGTAAAGCAGGAACCCTGAAGACTATCTGTCTTTTGGAAAGTTTAGCAGTCACTTTTCTGAGGGTCCTGCATGTCCAGTTCATACAGCATACCATAAAACAGTCCAGGCAAGAGCAGTTTCTTGACAAAATGGCTAGCCTTGTCACACTGAAGGTAAATTCCATAACAAGTTTCTTCAATGCACATCAACCTCTCTGATGTAACTGGTGCTGCCAGAAGCAGGCATGTCTCACTGTTCAAAAAATTCTATGTTCTTAGAACATTTTAAATGCCATTCTATAGGTCTTTCAAGTACTGAAGATTATCTATCTAACTGAAATATATCCCTGTATATCTAGAAAATCTAACTAGTGACTACAAGTTTCACTTAAAAATTAGTATCTAAAGCCAGGCAGTGGCAGCACATGCCTTTAATCCCAGTACTTGGGAGATAGAGGCAGGTGGATCTCTGTGAGTTTGAGGCCAGCCTGCTCTAGAATGAGTTCCAGGATAGGCTCCAAAAGCTACAGAGAAACCCCATCTCGAAAAAAATTGAGTATTTATTAATCTATAACTTTTAACTATACATTGCATTTTTAAATTAGTTATATAAACATAATACCTTAAACAACAATAGAAATACACATATAACATTTTTTACTTCTTTAATCAATTACTGTCTGTACTCTGTCTCTTTAAAGACTTTGCTTTACTTTTTAAGACTATTTCTTTTTATAAATGCCTTATACTATTTTTCTTCCCTCTCTCAAACCTACATACATTTTTTAAAACATACTGTGACCCTTTCAGAGGTTTATTTCTGTCTGATTCTGTCTTCATTTTATATCTGTAATCATTTTCTGACCAGGGGTGCTGTTAAAATGCTAAGTAGCTTGGTTGCAGCGACCCTGGATGGGGACTCTACCACTCTTAGCCTTTCAATATGTTGGATGTACCTTTCCTCCCAGCTCTTGGACCCCTGAATGGGAGCTGTCCTCACCACCTCAACTCTGGAAAGAGCTGACCCGTGCTGCCACCAAGTAACTTGCATCATGCTGCCCACAAACCCTATACAAGTTCTCAGCCTCCTGAAAGAACCAGAGCTGTTTGTGCAACTAGCGTTTATCAGGAAGCCTTCTTATAGGAGCCACACAGTTTTGGCTGATTGCTGATTCAGGAAGCCTTCTCTTTTTATTTTATTTATTTATTTAAGGTTTCTGTCTCTTCCCCGCCACCACCTCCCATATCCCTCCACCTCCCCCAATCAACTCCCCCTCTCTCCTGTGCCTGAAGAGCAGACCGGGTTCCCTGCCCTGTGGGAAGTCCAAGGACCTCCCACCTCCTTCCAGGCCTAGTAAGGTGAACATCCAAACAGCCTAGGCTCCCACACACTGAGACAATGGGAAGCCTTCTCTTAAAAGAACCATGCCTCTGCTTGATTCCATCAAACAGAGCCCACCCAAGAAAATACTGCAACCGCGAAGCTGTGTTTAACTCTGTTTTGAGTGTGTGTGTGTATGTGTGTGTGTGTGTGTGTGTGTGTGTGTCTAGAATTCCTTTACAAGCTCTCTCAGGTTTTATGTGGATGTAGTTGGCCCACATTGGCCCATTTTGTAGGCGGAGACTGTTCCTTTGTTTCCAGGTCAAGCAGACACAAATAATCACACAGAAACTATATTAATTACAACACTGTTTGATGTGGGAGTGATTTCTTTCTAATATGTTGCTTTCATTGGTTAATTAATAAAGAAACTGCCTAGGCCCATTTGATAGGCCAACCCTTAGGTGGGTGGAGTAAACAGAACAGAATGCTGGGAGAATGAAAGCTGAGTCAGTGAGTTGCCATGATTCTCCCACTCCAGACAGATGTAAGTTAAGATCTTCCCTGGTAAGCCACCTAGTGGGCTACACAGATTATTAGAAATGTGTTAGATCAATATGTAAGAGCTAGCCAATAAGAGGCTGGAACTAATGGGTCAGGCAGTGTTTAAAAGTATACAGTTTCCATGTAATTATTTCGGGTAAAGCTAGCCGGGTAGTAGGAAGTGGCCCACCATTCATATTACAACAACTGTTTGGCCAATGGCTTAGGCTTCTTATTAATTAACCCTTACATCTTAAATTAATCCATTTATTTTATTCTGTGTCTCACTACAAGGCTGTGGCTTACCAAGTAAATTACTGGCATCTGTTTCCTTTGGCCGCAAAAAGGGGAGGTGATGTATGCTGTGAATGTTTTATCGCCATTCATTAATAAAGAAGCTGCTTTCAACTAATGAATTAACAGAGTAAAACCAGGTGTAAAATTCAAACAAAGATGGCGAGAGAGGGGGGGGGAGCAGAGTTGCGAAGATGCCACGTAGCTGCTGAAGGAGACAGATGCAAGAACTTTACCCGGTAAGCCACAGCCTTGTGGCAATACACAGAATAATATAAATGGGTTAATTTAAGATGTATGAGTAAGTTAATAAGAAGCCTAAGCCATTGGCCAAACAGTGTTGTAATTAATATAGTTATTTGTGATTATTCGTGTCCTCGAGGCCAGGAAACAAACAAGCAGTCTCTGTCAACAAAATATCATAATGAAGATACATAAAACAGACACCAATGTAATAGCAAACTCAGAAGTGGATCCCTTCAAATATCAACAAACTGGTGTGGCTTTGTTTTGGTAAAGCATAGACCCTAATGGTTAAACATTCTTCAGAGATTGTGTGATAAACAATACTCCAGGGTTACCTTGGCATCAGAGAAGAGAAACCTTTTTCCTCTGGAGGAGAAGCCAGGCACCTCAGATTAGTGGTTAAATCTGGACACACACACACACACACACACACACACACACACTTACACTTAAAATCTCAACAATGTGTTTGAGAGAAAACATGTTTATGTCTACTATATTAAACATAACACCTAATTAATATATAGTTTTTACACATTCGTGTAAGCTGAGAACACTTTTTAAAAGAAAGAATATCTATCTGTCCTCTGACACCCACAATATAAAAACAAACCCTTTAAGGTCATTTGTATCCTGGGAGCAAAACAGTCCATAATTTTAAATTTGACCTTGGCCTTTTGGTTCTCTTATTTGAAATTAGATCCCTTGAATGGAACCCCCTCCAACTAATGTCAATAATGCTTCCACATGCAAATATGACAAGCCCTTATTTTCGAGTCCCCCAGAGAGTACTAGTATACAGAGAATTTTGCCACCCCTTCTGATGCCTCCTATAATCCTCTGACCTGAGTGTCTCTCCTGCATAATCCCACCCTATGTGGCTTGTATGGTGAAGCTGGTGGAGGTGAAGGGTGAGACTGAACCACGAATCCCTTGCAGCAGCCCTGGTGTCTCAAAAGTGGCAGGCCACGTTCAGCGCCACAAGTTTTGCTGAGCGATGGCCAGGAGCAGTTTTAATACTGCTAACTGTCCAAAAAGTCATTGAAATGGATTGCAGCTGCCCAGCAGGTAGGGGACAGCGGGTCCCAAGAGCAGAGGGGGCAGTGGATCCCGAGAGCAGCCAGTCCTGGCAGGGCTGGGGTGCACCACGGAGCATGTCTCCAAAAGTGGCTGGTCCCCTGGGTGTCCCCAGCAGCTAGCCATGTGGGTGGCGGGTGGGCAAGGGGCAGAGAGATAGGCACATCATGCAGATGGGTTTGCTGCAAGCTGCTGGGGTCCAGAAAGCAGCCAGTCCCAAGCAGGGATGGTATACGAGACCACAGGGCAGATCAGCGGCTGCAGGGGAGAGAGACGGATAAAGGAACATACCATACGGAGTTAAGTTAGACATTTATTAGATGGATTGTGAAGGGGAAGGAAAAAGGGGAGAAGGGGGAGAGAGGGAGCGAAGGAGAGAGAGGGGGAGAAGGAGAGAGGGAAGAAGTTGGCAGTCTCTCCAAGCGAGGGGACAGGAAGACGAAGAGTGGGTCTCTGAGGCTGCAAGCAGGATGGGAATGGGCGTGGCTTGTGTCTTAAAGAGACAGAACAATCATTATAGTCATTCTCTTTTGGGTATGAAGTTTGGGGATTGTTAGTAATGTATAGCTACTTCCTCATGTTAAAAGCTTGTATCCTTCCTGCTACAAGATGTCCAAAAGTGACTTGAGTACCCTAGTGTCTGTACAAAAGAACCTGGTATACAGAAACAATAAACAGCAGTTCTATTGTCATGGGAGAATAAAACGAACTCTTAGCTCCTAAAACACCAGAAGTGTGAAGATCCTGATCACTCCTTGGGTACGTGAACTTTGTGGGGGCTCATTTCTCAGCCAATGAGCTTAATGTTCTCACGGGGCATCATTAGTCTTGGGTAGGAACCTTTGCAAGTCCCCGCTTACAGCTCTAGCATATCTTTTCCTTCCTGCTTTGTACCCTTCCACCTGAGGAAGTAGTTCCCGTTTACTCCGCCCTCCCTGGTTCACTCCACCCTCTCCGGTTCACTCCGCCCACTCTGCCCACTCTGCCCTCTCTCTCCGTGCAGGAGGGAGGTCCTACCTTCCCCTCTCCCAGCATGCAATGCTTCAATCTGCATAAACCTGTAGGGATCTAAGAAGTGAACTGCCGTCCTGTGACTTGCGGGAGTTATCTTCACTTAGGTTAGCTTCTGGCTGGTTTCTTTTGTGCCATGTCTGATAAGAAAAAGCCAGACCAAGGCCCTAGTGGCTCAGATGATAAAAGTGATGGAAATAGAGGCCGTTTACTAGAGCAGTACTCCCTGGAAGAAATCCTGACGTCTTTGGCGTGGCTGATCTTCCTTGCTGCCGCAGTAGGTTTTCTGGCGTTCCAGTTCATCGTAAATGACATTTATGAGGAGGAGGAGGAGTATGAGAGGGATGTGGCCTGGATATCCAAGCAAAGCAGGCTTATGTCCCCTACTGACGACGAGGAGGATGAGGACACTGAGGATGAAGACATCACGGATGATGACATGGAGGATGAGGACGAGGAAGAATTGGAGAACCAGATGGAGGAGGCAGAGGAATACAGGGCAGAAGATGAGACGCGCATGGAAGAGGGTGCCAGAGCTATCTACCTCATCGACTTAGCAACCTTTACCGGTAAGTTACCCATGGCCCTTAATCTGGATTCAGGTTGGGTGTTTTCTTAACCACATCCAGAGTAAAGACCACCTCAGAGTTGGGCTCATTCTTCAGTACCATTCCTGACTCTTATCCCATCCCCCACTCCACTCAGCTACCATCCTCCTCTTCCAATTCCTCAAGCTGCTCCCCCACCTTCCCTTTATGCACCTTTGCTCTATCTACTCTGCCTCCTTCTCCGCACCCCTTTAGCAACTTTCCACTCCCTGCACCCATCCCCCTCCATACTAGCCTTTTCTCTCCATCCCTCTCCCAGCTCCCTCCCCCTCTCATCTTAGCTTGTTTTCCCTGCTCCCTGTAGCCATTTTGTATCTTTCTTCTCCCTGCTCCCATTCCCCACCCCCCTGACTGCTCCCTTTTTGCAACTTTCTTCTCCCTGCCCCCGCCCTTGCACCTGGCTCCTCTTTTTGCCCCTTTCTTCTCCCAGCCCCATCCCCCTCCCTGCTCCCCTTTTTGCAACTTTCTTCTCCCTTCCCCC